ATATACTTGGGTGAGCCCACACATGTCGGGCTCCTGTTTTGTGGGGTACATCGTCCCCGGAATTAGAGTTGTCCCACACCTGCCCCCGGAAGACAGAGGAATAAAAGGGACCAAAACAGCTGTCAGACCTCTCAGACGTTGCTGCAAATGGAGAAACCGTAGGCCGTGCCCTCTTTCCCGCCTATGGAGCCGGATCTAACCATGTAGACATTCTTCGCCTTACAGACATTCTCCTCAAATTTATGCAAGAAGCCACTCAGATTACCGACTCCTTGGTGTCCGAACTATCCGAGGTAAGACAACTCAGTCTACAGACCAGGATTGCAACCGACTTCCTGCTGTCTAGTCAAGGAGGGACATGCGCCCTAATAGGAGCTGAGTGTTGTACATATGTAACCGATCAATCCCTCAATATAACTGGACATTTAAATAATATCCATGAACTAGCAGGAAAGCTACAGGATATACAACATGAAGGGCTGTCCGATGTAGACTTGTGGGGATGGTTACCCAAGTTAGGATGGCTCCGACAGTTACTGAAAGTCGTAATTTCTACTGTTTTAATTGTTATCCTTTGTGTCCTGACCCTCTGTTGTGCCATACATTGTATTCCTCCCTGCTGTTCCCTTCTTCGCTGCCCGACTCAAGCTACCTCTCTCTCACTCCGAGCGTATTCCCGCTCACAGCGTACCCCTACTTTCCCAGAATATGTACAGATGAGGCATTTAGGGAAGGGGAATACGAGATCACTCAGATCTAGGTGCGGAGAAAGGATTTGCAAGTTCTTGCAGAACTTTGACGCAAATCTATCTCCGAATGGGGGACTGATACGGTAAACGGGGGTCCACCCTCCCATGTCCGAAACGATGACCTCAAGAGCGCCCACTACACTATGCACCCCTTCCCCAGCCTCTTCACTGTCGCACAAGCACCACACACAACCCTTTTCCCCTTTTCCACGGGCGAAATAAGCCCAAAACTCCCAAGCCCCTATCCCTTCTCTCGCTCCATCTTTATTATGAGTCGACCGTGTCAAAATACATCCCCGTTTGTTCCAATGGCCGCGTCTTGACCAATCAGGTACGTGCATCTGCTCTGCAGAACCAGCTCAGCGAGCCTCTGCACGCCTCATTTAACCTCTTGACAAGCTGCTGACAGCTCCCCGCTGAGAGAACAATGGAATCGAAACTCGTAACCTCGTAAAACTGTCAAACCCTGTTACAATGTATCCAGTTTAGCTCGTAAAACTGTCAAATGTATCTAGTTTGTTTCCGTTTTCTATTATTATTGTAAGAATGGACGAAATAGACTGAAAACTTCTTAAATTCATATAAAATCAACCCCTTCTCCGATTTCCTTGGTTCTGGTGTCAATCGACTCAGCCTTTCCAGGACTCCATAATCCCTCGAGCGAGGAGTCACGTACTCAGGAAGACCTTAATCTGGTCAGATCACCTCGCCCAGCCCTACCTCCGGGCAATACCAGGTGGCAGACTTTACATATTCGGACCATTGTCTTCTCATCACCGGTACTCAGGAAGTGCTTATCTATGCATATCTTCAGCTCTGCATATTCCCTCCTCCCTGTCCTCTATGCTAATCCGTGTAACCCAACCTCTCTGTGATATCACCCATGTAACCCAACCTCTTTGTAATGTATTCATGACGCGTTCCGCACTGTATTATGGGACATGGAGGAAGTTTCAAAAACTCCTGTCACCCCTTACTCGGGGTTCAATTTCATCTTGAACCTGTTGCGCAATAAACTTGGATTTCCTGGAACTTGCTCCCGTCTCCGGCTGAGCTCATTTTCTCCCGCAGGGACCCGCGGACTCAGTCCGACGAGCTGGGTGGCAGAGTAACCCCGCACCCAGATTTTACCGTAACAGTTGGCGCCCAACGTGGGGCTGGCGGTTCTCCCGAACTGCTGACCGGGGGCCCCGAAATCTTCAGCCGGCTCCGGGCCATTTTGCCTGGGAAGATCCTTTTGGACCTCCGGCCATCTTCCGGGCGGTAATCGAAAGCCCTAGGAGTTCAGCCGGGGAGCAAAGAGGGATCCAGCCGGCTTATTCATCGATCCCGGGATCATCGTAGAAGACGCGTGAGTATAGGAAAATCCAGTGCACTGGTGGGTAGGGGTGGAAGTCTCCTGGCAACTGAATTCTCTGCCCTCCTCTCTATCGTTCCTTCTCACCTTTCTCTTGGTCCGGTTAGCGAGAAAGACCGTGGACCACCGCTCGACCCGAAAGGGGGGTTCTGAGCTCTATCTCTTTTCTGAACCCTCCAGCCAGCCGCACCAATTGGGAGCCCGAAGTAAGACGGAGAGAACCGACTTCAAAATAAGCCGACTCTCCGCAACGGGCCTCTCAGTTGAAAGCAAGGGTTGGAGTTCTCTTCCGAGCTTCCCGAGCGTCCTTCCTAGGAGGCAGGAAGTGGTCTAGCTTTTCTATCCCAATCCCAGCCGCACCGGTCGGACCACGTGCATCGTGAGCCCGCTTCCGAAAGCAAGGGGGATTTTCGATTCGGAAACCTATCCGGGGACCACCCGATCTGGCACCGCACAGCGCGGGCGTCCAGTAGGGCTCCCTTTTCTGAGATTGTAACGCTAGGTAGGAGGTTGCCAGGAGGGATAGCTCATGAGGAATTGGGCGGGTTTGGCAGAGTGGAAAGGGACCCCTGATTGTTAATTAAGGACAAGGAGGAAATTAGGAAAAGAGAACTAAATATTAAGAGCTCACTAAATCGTTAAGAGGTTGCCAAGCAACGAGAAAGATACCCAGGCCCCTATAAACCCTTACCGACCCTATATCTCTCTCCCTTTTTCTACCCAGACACGCGTGAACCATAAAATGGGTACCCAGGCTTCCAAGCACGAGCGGGCTCACTCTGGGAGGAAGGCTTCTAGAAAGCCATCCCGGTCCCAGAGGGACCCTGACTCTCCTCTCGAATTTGTAATCATCCATTGGAAGTCAATTCCTGGCCACAAACTTCTATCGAAGCAAAAACTAGAGAACCTCTGCACAGAAATCTGGCCCGCCAACACCACTTCCGCCCGACCAGAATTACGTTGGCCCAAGGGAGGTTCGTTTAACGAAGACCGACTGAAACACCTAAGGAGACACTTAATGGAAGAAAAACCCCGCCAGTTAGAATATTTGGCAGCCTTCGAGACAGTTAAAGGATTACTCCAAGTCTCGAAGGGAGCACCATCGTATCAGCTGCCCATATTAAATCCCGGAAGGCAGCCTATGCCCCCCCCTTACGAAGGACACTTCGCTGATGATACAGTAGAACAAGCCCTGGTTCCCTTCTACTATAGGGAACCGACACCACCCATCCCTAGCGATAGCTCGGATAGTGACGAAGAAACGGGGGATGGAGGGGCACGAGGAAGTAAGAACCAGAGGCTCACGAGGTTACAAGCCAGAAAGAACAACCCCATCGTAGAAACCCGTAGCCTTACAGAGCGCCCTATAGAAGAAACCGAAGAAACCCCGGGAACTTCTGGACAGGAAAGTTCCACAGCGGTCCAGATGCCCCTAAGGGCCCTACCGATTCCGCCCATCCAACCCGACGGGGCTCCCCGGATGGTTTATACGCACCAGCCCTTTTATACTGCCGACCTAGTAACCTGGTCAAATCAAATGCCCTCTCTAAGGGATGACCCAGATAAATGCCATCGCCAGATCAGCGCCATCTTTTCCACTCACAACCCCACTTGGCCAGATGTCCACGTTCTTTTAAACGCCCTATTCAATGAAGCTGAAAAGGCGGACATTCTGACCAAAGCCGGAGAGGCCATAGAGTCACCGGACTACCAGAGGGGACGTCCCGCGGCATTAGCGGCCCTCTCAGCCCAGTGCCTGCGTATAGAACCTACATGGGACTACAATACCACCAACGGGATTTGGTGCTTAAATCTATTTAAAAGGGCTATCTTAGACGGTGTAAAAGCCGCTGGACAGCGTACTGTCAACTGGACCAAGGTCCAAACTGTACTACAGGGACCAAATGAACATCCATCGGATTATTACACTAGATTGGTCTCCGCCATCAAGACCTGGGGAGGGATAGACCCGGAGAACCCCCAACATGAAGTAATCGTTAAGGGTTTCTTCAAAGACCAGGCCAGCCCAGATATAAGAAAAGCCCTGAATCTCCAAATAGGATATGATGGGAAGAGCGTTAGCGAAATCTTATCCATCGCCAAATCAGTTTATAACTCTCGGGATGAAAGGAAACGAAAGGAAGCAAAACCTGAGACTGAACACATCTTAGCGCTGAGCATGGAGCCTAACTCCAGCCGGGGCAGAAGTTTTAACCGAGGAAGAGGGGGCCGGGGAGGAGGACCCCCCGCTCCCCACAGACCATGGGGACCCAACACCGGAGGATGCTATTACTGCCAAGAAGAGGGACACATAAAGAGGTTTTGCCCCTACCTAAACACCACAACCTATGGAGTACAAGGCTCTAAACCCTTTCCGGCTCAGACCAATTATCCTCCTTTCCCGATGCGCCCACATTCCAACATAACCCAGGGATATGGCAACCAACAACCCACTATGCAAGCACCTCCAAACCACCGACCTCAACCGGGCACACAGGTTCAAATGCCCGCTATGACTCCAGCCACTCATTCTTGGGCAAATGCCACCGCTCCTCCCTTACACCCCCAACCAGCCACCTCCTGAAGATCAAGACACATACTGACAATTAAAGGGAATGTCAGTCCGGCCCAAGCCATCTACCCTGTCCTAGCATTATCGCCAGATGACCCTATCTGCACGATTGAGATCGATGGCCACCCCTATCGATGTTTATTAGATACGGGAGCTACGTACTCGACCCTGACTAGCAGCCACCTAGAACCCGGGTCAGAAACCAAGAAAGTTATGGGACTGGACGGGATACCCCGCACTTGCCCTCTCTCACAACCGGCCAAAGTCACCCTCGGACCCTTATTGGCGGAACACACCTTCCTCCTAACGAGCAGCCCAGTGAATCTCCTTGGCAGAGACCTACTCTGCAAACTCAATGCCACCATAAAATGTTCTGAAGATGGCATCTACCTGTACATGCCCGAAGACTCTGTCCCTGCCTTTCAAGGCATGGTATTAGAGGAAAAATTAGATCGCCAGTTTCCCGAACTTCCCCCAGAACTAGAGAATGAATTACCTCCTTCACTGTGGGGCACGGAATCAACTTCTGTAGGATTGCTATTATCTGCCACCCCGGTAAGGATTACCTATAGAACTGATCGGCCCTTCCCTTGCACCAAGCAATACCCTCTACCCAAAGAAGCAATCGACGGACTGACACCTATGATAGAAGATTTCCTCAGCAAAGGGATCCTTGTTCCCTGTGCGTCACCTTGTAACACCCCAGTGCTCCCCATAAAGAAACCCTCCACAGAAGGAGCCCCAGTCCGGTACCGTTTTGTCCAAGACCTGAGACTGGTAAACCAATTCGTAATACCCCGCCACCCAGTCGTGGGCAACCCTAACTCCCTCTTAAATGCCATCCCGGCGGGAACAACCTGGTACTCTGCAGCGGATCTATGCTCCGCCTTCTTCAGTATACCCTTGGACCCCGCCAGCCAATTCCTTTTTGCATTTACCTGGGGACCCAGCCAGCTAACTTGGACAAGGCTGCCCCAAGGCTACGTAGAATCACCCGCGATCTTTTCCGCCATATTACACCAGGACCTACAGGACGTGTGCCTGCCTGCTAACTCCGCCCTCCTTCTCTACGTAGATGATATTTTATTGTGCTCTACTAGTGAAGAGGCATGCAAATTAGACACTAAATATCTCCTCTCAGAACTAGCCCGGAAAGGACACAAGGTGTCCCCTAAGAAGTTACAATATTGTAAACAGGAAGTAAAATACCTCGGACACATCCTAGGAGTGGGTACCCGAAGCCTAGCCACCGACAGAATCGAGGCCGTTACCAGAATTCCCTCCCTAAGACTAAGCGGCAATTACGCGGCTTCCTTGGTATGGCAGGCTTCTGCCGAGCATGGATTGCCGGCTATAGCGAAATAACGAAGCCTTTAACCGCTATGACCCGCCAAGACCACCCAGATACCCTGGTCTGGGAAGAGGAAGCTTATAAATCCTTCGAACGCTTAAAAAGAGAATTACGGTCCGCTCCTGCTTTAGGACTGCCAGACTACCGGACTCCTTTTAACCTGTTCATCCATGAACAAATGGGAGTCGCCTCAGGGGTCCTAACCCAACCCTTCCGAGATCAGGAAAGACCAGTAGCCTATTACAGTCTACAACTAGACAACACCGCAAAGGGAGCAGTGAGTTGTTTAAGAGCTATTGCCGCCGCTGCGATCCTCCTTGAGAAAGCCCAGGAAACAGTCTTGGGACATGAAATTACCATCCATGTTCCCCACTCGGTCTCCACCCTCTTAACCTTGAGAGGTTGTCATCACTTCTCAAACTCTCGCCTAAACCGATACGAAGCCCTTCTATTAACCCCATCTAACGTCACCATCAAACGCGTCAATTCCCTGAATCCAGCTACCCTATTACCCCTTCCTGATGATGGCACCCCACACCACGACTGCGCTACCATAGTCCGCCAAGCCGAGAAACCGCGGGAGGATCTAGACCACCTTCCCTTAGAAAACCCTGACCTCATACTGTACACTGATGGCAGCTCAAAGGTCATCGAGGGGAAAGGAAGACAGGGTACGCAGTCGTCTCTGACTTTGAAGTCCTGGAATCCAACCCAATTAACCCACAGTATAGCGCCCAAGCCGCTGAATTAATTGCACTCATACGTGCTTGTGAACTTGGCGAAGGGAAGAGAACCACCATTTACACGGACAGTAAATACTGCTTCGGGCTCGTACACACAACCGGTCAAATTTGGCTTCAAAGGGGCTTCTTAACTGCAGCCGGCTCCCAAATTTCACACGCCGCCCTAGTAGAGAGACTTCTTACAGCCATTCACTTACCGAGTGCAATAGCAGTAGTCCACTGTAAAGCACACACCAAAGGGAGGGACCCGGTCTCGAAGGGAAACAGACGGGCTGATAAAGCTGCCCAAATTGCTGCCCTTCGCCCCCCAAATAATGAGTCCGAATTTCAAGCCTTACAATTACCTACAGACATAGACGCAACACAAATATATGATTCAGCCCCAGAGGAGGAAAAATCAAAATGGGAATCCGTGGGCGCAACTGAACAGAATGGTATTTGGACCCTCCCCGATGGCAGGACAGTCCTTCCAAGAGCCTGGGTTCCAAAATTAGTGAGAATCCTCCACCAACAGACTCACTGGGGAAAATGGAGATTAATAGACCACGTTACGAGGTCCTGGTACGCCCCAGGGATAGCCACCGCAGCTACAGCAGCCTCCAAGAACTGCATTACCTGCCATCACTTCAACCCCAAACGTGAGCCCAAAAGGAAACCACCAGGAGCTAGACCGTGGGCCTTTGTCCCCTTTGAGAGTTTACAGCTAGACTTTATCGACTTACCCCAATGCCAAGGCTTCAAGCATGCCCTGATTATAATAGATCAATTTTCCTCTTGGGTGGAGGGATTCCCCTGTCGAAAGGCCACCGCATCGGTAGTCGCTAGGGCCCTCCTTCAAGACATCATTCCTCGATATGGGATACCCCGCCGCCTAGACAGTGACAGGGGAACTCACTTCACTGCAGAAGTGGTACAATTGGTGGCCAAAGCCCTCCAAATAAAGTGGGACCTTCATACACCGTACCACCCACAGTCCTCTGGTCAAGTAGAACGTATGAACCAGGAGATAAAAATGCAACTGGGAAAACTCTGTAGACTCTCGGGGCTGAAATGGGTAAATGCACTCCCACTGGTCCTTCATAATATACGAAGTGCCCCGACAGGACCTTTGAAACTTTCCCCATTCGAACTTCTATTCGGGAGACCCCCTCCCGTATACAACACCTTGTTTCCCCTCTCAGAACTGGACGTGGGGGAGGCGGAACTCACTAACTATATTATTCAGCTTCAGACACAGCTACTACGCCTCCACCAGTACGCGGCTATCGAAGGACAAAACCTGCCTATTGACGTCCATGCCCACTCTTTCCATCCCGGCGACTGGATCCTCGTTAAGGTCTATCAGAAGGCGCCGCTCCAACCTGCGTGGGAAGGTCCTTACCAAGTACTACTGACCTCCCCGACTGCCGTGAAGGTGGGAGAGAAAAACGCGTGGCTACATCACATGAGGTGCAAAACATCCCCACCACCCCAAGAGACGCTAGAAAACCCCGAGGAGGACTACGCCTACGAGACCCCACCCCACTCGCCGGCTACCTACATCGACGACGACGAGGAACAGACCGGACCGGATCGGGGCCAAGATCGGGCTCAACAGACCGGACCGGATCGGGGCCAAGATCGGGCTCAACAGACCGGACCGGATCGGGGCCAAGATCGGGCTCAACAGACCGGACCTGACCGAGGCCAAGTTCGGGCCCAACAGACCGGACCTGATCAGAGCCAAGTTCCGACCCAACACGCCAGACCGGACGTTACAGCACCTAACTGGACGTCCGAGATCGTCCCAGACTCCAACGCCATCAAACTTCGCCTTAAGTGCCTTTGACAGCTCGTTTGACAGCTCGTTTGACAGCTCCATAGACTGCTATTACTTGCCTTTGACAGCTCGTTTGACAGCTCGTTTGACAGCTCCATAGACTGCTATTACTTGCCTTTGACAGCTCGTTTGACAGCTCGCTTGACAGCTCCATAGACTGCTATTACTTGCCTTTGACAGCTCGTTTGACAGCTCGCTTGACAGCTCCATAGACTGCTATTACTTGCCTTTGACAGCTCGCTTGACAGCTCCATAGACTGCTATTACTTGCCTTTGACAGCTCGTTTGACAGCTCGCTTGACAGCTCCATAGACTGCTATTACTTGCCTTTGACAGCTCGTTTGACAGCTCGTTTGACAGCTCCATAGACTACTATTGCTTGCTTTTGTCAGCCCGTTTGACAGCTCGTTTGACGGCTCCACAGACTACTATCGCCTGCGTCTGACAACTCGATCCGCAGCTTCAACTACCCCCCCCCCGCCAGGAGCCATGAACCCCACCACTGCTCTCATCCTCCTTGTCACCCTGACTGCGACAACACCTTCCTCGTTGAGCCACTGCACTGGACTACAAACAGACTACCATTTCCTCGACTATCACAAGGTCGAAACGGGAGGGAAGTCCAACCCGGACCGAATGGGGGACTTTGAGTTCTGCCTTCCAGAATCTCGAACTCTACTGCGTCATTCCCTGGTACCCCGGCTCACCGACAGCGCATACTGGGAACTCTTCATCCGAGATAAGGACTTACGTCGCATCGGGTCAGCTGCCCTCACACTTGATCACTCCTTTTACCGGCTGAAATGTTATAATGGAACTTACCTACTCTATAACAACGGAGAAGTCACACGCAGCCCTAACTGGACCGAGGCCGAACTGGGAACGGCCTCCCACGTATACACAGACCCCAATCACCCCTCCGAGAACTTGATCTTTGGGTTCCAGTGCCTCCTCACGACCCCAAAACCCCACAAGCCCCAACTCCAAGGACTTTGCCTCAGACGATTCTGCTGCCTTTGGAACTTGGGAGTCACCCGTGATTGGAAGGGAGCCGACTACCTAGAAGGGTGGCACCATCCCATACACCCCTCACGCTCTCCTTCATGGGACAACGTTGGGCCTCTGAGGTGCGGCGGCATTGCCCGGGATAGGCGGCTCCTAAATACCTCTGACCCACTCCACCCATTTGGCACTGCACCTCGACGACTAGGCCCTGCACCTGCCCTCCCAGGAGAAGACCTTCTTTCCTCCTGGGAACAGAACTCCTACATCAAACTTCTCAGCCAGGTCGCTAAAGAAGCACCATACCCCGATTGCTGGATTTGCGCTCATGCTCCCAGCCACCTTCAACAGAGTCTACCCCTGGTCCCGGTGCCAGTGACCTTAGAACAATTTCGCTCCGGAGATGTCGTCTCCTGGAACCTAACTGCATTAAATCTAACACACCAATATCTGTACCTCACCGGCCCCACGAAAGGACCCCTTTGCCGCAGTTTCACTGGAGAGGGAACCTTCATCGGATCCAGTACCTGCAATACTGACTTAGAAATCCTAGCCGATGGCCAAGTCACCATCACTGACCCACGTGGTTCCCAGACCTTCCCCAATCTCACCATTGCATGGGCTACTGCTGTCAGCCAACCCCCCACCTGGCAACCACAACTCACAGACTTTATGCTGTTACAGACTTTTGCTTCAGGAAGGATGGAATCTTACCTCAGTGGCTTATTCTGGATTTGCGGACACCGCGCATATACTTGGGTGAGCCCACACATGTCGGGCTCCTGTTTTGTGGGGTACATCGTCCCCGGAATTAGAGTTGTCCCACACCTGCCCCCCGGAAGACAGAGGAATAAAAGGGACCAAAAACAGCTGTCAGACCTCTCAGACGTTGCTGCAAATGGAGAAACCGTAGGCCGTGCCCTCTTTCCCGCCTATGGAGCCGGATCTAACCATGTAGACATTCTTCGCCTTACAGACATTCTCCTCAAATTTATGCAAGAAGCCACTCAGATTACCGACTCCTTGGTGTCCGAACTATCCGAGGTAAGACAACTCAGTCTACAGACCAGGATTGCAACCGACTTCCTGCTGTCTAGTCAAGGAGGGACATGCGCCCTAATAGGAGCTGAGTGTTGTACATATGTAACCGATCAATCCCTCAATATAACTGGACATTTAAATAATATCCATGAACTAGCAGGAAAGCTACAGGATATACAACATGAAGGGCTGTCCGATGTAGACTTGTGGGGATGGTTACCCAAGTTAGGATGGCTCCGACAGTTACTGAAAGTCGTAATTTCTACTGTTTTAATTGTTATCCTTTGTGTCCTGACCCTCTGTTGTGCCATACATTGTATTCCTCCCTGCTGTTCCCTTCTTCGCTGCCCGACTCAAGCTACCCCTCTCTCACTCCGAGCGTATTCCCGCTCACAGCGTACCCCTACTTTCCCAGAATATGTACAGATGAGGCATTTAGGGGAAGGGGAATACGAGATCACTCAGATCTAGGTGCGGAGAAAGGATTTGCAAGTTCTTGCAGAACTTTGACGCAAATCTATCTCCGAATGGGGGACTGATACGGTAAACGGGGGGGGGTCCACCCTCCCACGTCCGAAACGATGACCTCAAGAGCGCCCACTACACTATGCACCCCTTCCCCAGCCTCTTCACTGTCGCACAAGCACCACACACAACCCTTTTCCCCTTTTCCACGGGCGAAATAAGCCCAAAACTCCCAAGCCCCTATCCCTTCTCTCGCTCCATCTTTATTATGAGTCGACCGTGTCAAAATACATCCCCGTTTGTTCCAATGGCCGCGTCTTGACCAATCAGGTACGTGCATCTGCTCTGCAGAACCAGCTCAGCGAGCCTCTGCACGCCTCATTTAACCTCTTGACAAGCTGCTGACAGCTCCCCGCTGAGAGAACAATGGAATCGAAACTCGTAACCTCGTAAAACTGTCAAACCTTGTTACAATGTATCCAGTTTAGCTCGTAAAACTGTCAAATGTATCTAGTTTGTTTCCGTTTTCTATTATTGTTGTAAGAATGGACGAAATAGACTGAAAACTCCTTAAATTCATATAAAATCAACCCCTTCTCCGATTTCCTTGGTTCTGGTGTCAATCGACTCAGCCTTTCCAGGACTCCATAATCCCTCGAGCGAGGAGTCACGTACTCAGGAAGACCTTAATCTGGTCAGATCACCTCGCCCAGCCCTACCTCCGGGCAATACCAGGTGGCAGACTTTACATATTCGGACCATTGTCTTCTCATCACCGGTACTCAGGAAGTGCTTATCTATGCATATCTTCAGCTCTGCATATTCCCTCCTCCCTGTCCTCTATGCTAATCCGTGTAACCCAACCTCTCTGTGATATCACCCATGTAACCCAACCTCTTTGTAATGTATTCATGACGCGTTTCGCACTGTATTATGGGACATGGAGGAAGTTTCAAAACTCCTGTCACCCCTTACTCGGGGTTCAATTTCATCTTGAACCTGTTGCGCAATAAACTTGGATTTCCTGGAACTTGCTCCCGTGCCCGGCTGAGCTCATTTTCTCCCGCAGGGACCCGCGGACTCAGTCCGACGAGCTGGGTGGCAGAGTAACCCCGCACCCAGATTTTACCGTAACACCTTTGTCCTGACCGAGGACCTAATCCATCCTGGAGGCTCTGCCATTGTCTGTGGGATGGCTGCCTGTCTGGCACTGCTGAGTACCTGGTCTCAGGCTTGGGGGATTATGGCTGCCCACATCCCAGGCTCCCCCCTTGGGAGACATTCCTTCCCTGAACAGAACAAAGTTGGAACGGCGCAAATCCAATACTGGAGCAATTTTATATGACTTTCTAAAGTTTGCCCAGTGAGCCAGTACAGAGATAAACTTATCAGTGAATTGTCGCATTGGGTAATGTGCAGCAGAGGCCCTTTGAACAGAGATGGGGGGGAACTGTATGATGAAGTATTTTGTGGGGACATTTGCAGGAGTGATTGTGTTGAGTTTGGGGTGTGTGTGTGATGTCTACATAAATTCCGTAACACCATCTAGCCCGGCATCCTGTTCTCACAGCGGCTGAAGAGTTGCCTGTGGGAAACCAGCAAGAGATACTCTCTCCCCTCCTGGCATTCAGAAGCATTGCTGCGTCTCCCCTGTGGAGGGCAGAGCTGAGCCAGCATGGCCGATAGCCCCCCATAGCATGAATTCCCTCCTGCATGGATTTCGACAGTCCTCTTCCAAAGCCACCCAAGTTTGGGGCCGTCTCTGCTGTTAACGGAGAAATCTGAGGGCTCCCTTGGACAAAAAACAAGGATCCCAGCCAGGAATTACCAGAGCAAAACAGCAGCCAGTCGGCTTGGTCTGTATTGAAGACTGTTGCAACAGGACTCCCACCTGCCACCAGGTGGAACAAGATGGAAGCCCAGAACAAAAGAGAACCCAAACTTTTATTAGCTGCTAATCCCCACGTTACACCCCACAAACTACATCACTCATACATCATGGTTACATCATGAAAGGGGAGGACTGGTGGCCGGAATCTGAGCATCCTGGACCCTGCCCCATGGTTCCCCTTGCCCTCCCCCAAACACCCATCAAGTGGAACAAAAGAGATCTTTACATTTCCCTCTTTCCCAGCCAAGTTAATCATCTGGGTTTGTCATTCCTGGAATGGCTACCTGTCTGGCACTCAGGTATCAGGAGGCCAGGGATTATCACTCGGGCAGAGGGGCTGCTGAGTAGCTGAGCTCACATGTCTATAGGAATTTCTGAAGTTTTCCCAGTGAGCCAGTACATATATTTATCAGTGAATTCTTACATTTGGTATTGTGCAGCAAAGGCCCTTTGAATGGATAGGAAGAAACTGTGATGAAGTGTTTTGTGGGGACAAATCACAAAAGTCACAAAAGTGATGGTGCTGATTTTGGTAGTGGGCTGCATGTGCATGATATCTGCTGGAGGGGCAACCCCCCCCAACCTATACATCAATTCCTGCAACACTGCCTCTAGTGGGAGGGAGTTCCACACCTTTTGAAATGGCCTTTCTTTGAGTTTCTCTGGGGCCTTTGCCTCTCCTGCGGCCACAACTGAAGCCGTTCCTCAAGGGAGGGTGGGATGTTGGTCGGAGCAGAGCATGTCAGAATGTGATCTTGCGTGCAGGGAAGGAGCCCCCCCTTGAGCGTCTCTGTTTGCCAGATTTCAATGCGCTCCCCCCGCCCCCACTGACCCGTTCAGCGGAAAGAAACTGCGTCCGTTTCAGCGTTTCTTCCAGAGCCCCACCAGGAAATATTTTCGGTGGCTGGCAATTTTTGCTGAATTTCTCCATTGCCGACATGCACTGCAAATCCACTTTGGTCCTGGAGGTGGCGCTGCTGCTTCACTGCTAAAGCAAACCAACCCTCCCCCCCCCCCCCAATGTCTCTCCAAACTTTGAGCATCAGGGGCTCAAAGGTGAGCTACGAAATTGGCCCTGGAGGAGTGCTGTGGATTCAGGGATGTGTCTCCAAAATAATTCTACACATCACTTGGGAAAACAGGAGAACTAATGCCAGTGTACTGGAAGAAGCAAAGATCACCAGTGTTGAAGCAATGATTCTTCAACATCAACTTCGTTGGACTGGTCATGTCGTGCGATGCCTGATGATCGTCTTCTAAAGCAACTACAGTCATACCTCGGGTTACAGACGCTTCAGGTTGCACATTTTCACACCGCACCGAACCCGGAATGGGTTAATTCCAGGTTTTGGCGCTCGTGCATGCGGAAAGACACTAAATCGCGCTTTGCGCATGCACAGAAGTGCTAAATTGCAACTCGCGCGTGCACAGACATGGCACTGCGGGTTGCGAACGCTGATGGTTGCAAATGTGCCTCCTGCACAGATCAAATTCGCAACCCGAGCGTCCACTGTACTCTATTCCAAACTAATAATAATAATAATAATAATAATAATAATAATAATAATTTATTATTTGTACCGCCCATCTGGCTGGGTTTCCCCAGCCACTCTGGGCAGCTTCCAACAAAGATGAAAAATACACTAAAATGTCACATATTAAAAACTTCCCTGAACAGGGCTGCCTTCAGATGTCTTCTGAATGTCAGGTAGTTGTTTATTGCTTTGACATCTGACGGGAGGGCGTTCCACAGGGCGGGCGCCACTACCGAGAAGGCCCTCTGCCTGGTTCCCTGGGTGGCTTCCAACACAATATTAAAATACAGTAATGCATTAAAAGCTTCCCTAAGCAGGGCTGCCTTCAGATGTTGTCTAAAAGTCTGGTAGTTGTTCTTCTCTTTGACATCTGATGAGAGGGCGTTCCACAGGGCGGGCGCCACCACCGAGAAGGCCCTCTGCCTGCTTCCCTGTAACTTGGCTTCTCACAGTGAGGGAACCGCCAGAAGGCCCTCAGAGCTGGACCTCAGTGTCCGGGCAGAACGATGGGGGTGGAGATGTTCCTTCAGGAACACTGGGCTGAGGCCATTTAGGGCTTTCAAGGTCAGCACCAATACTTTGAATTGTGCTCGGAAACATACTGGGAGCCAATGTAGGTCTTTCAAAACTGGTGTTATATGGTCTCGGCGGCCGCTCCCAGTCACCAGTCTAGCTGCCGCATTCTGGATTAGTTGTAGTTTCTGGGTCACCTTCAAAGGTAGCCCCATGTAGAGCACATTGCAGTAGTCCAAGCGGGAGATAACCAGAGCATGCACCACTCTGGCGAGACAGTCCGTGGGCAGGGAGGGTCTCATCCTGCGTACCAGATGGAGCTGGTAAACAGCTGCCCTGGACACAGATTTGACCTGTGCCTCCATGGACAGCTGTGAGTCCAAAATGACTCCCAGGCTGGGCACCTGGTCTTTCAGGGGCACAGTTACCCCATTCAGGACCAGGGAATCCTCCACACCTGCCCGCCTCCTGTCCCCCCAAAACAGTACTTCTGTCTTGTCAGGATTCAACCTCAATCTGTTAGCCGCCATCCATCCTCCAACCGCCTCCAGACACTCACACAGGACCTTCACAGCCTTCACTGGTTCTGATTTGAAAGA